TGCTTTTTCTTCAGGTTAGCGCTGTTTGTGCAATAGGTTTGTGCTGTTTTCAGAACAGGTTCGCGCTGTTTTAGAAAAGGTTTGTGCTGTTTCAGAACAGGTTCATGCTGTTTCAGAACAGGTTCGCGCTGTTTGGGCAATCAGCTTGTGCTGTATGGGCAATCAGCTTGTGCTGTATGGGCAGGGCAATAGGTTTGTGCTCGTTTTCTTCCAGCACGTGCTGGAAACCAAAACATCACGCCCTTTCTCTTCAGGCTCAGATCTCTGGATTCAGGATCAACTTTATAGTGCTTTGCGGCTTGAACAACAACAATATTATTAAGTCCATTCTCAATACGCGCGTCTTCAAAGACTAGAGTTAACGTACAAATGTCCAGCTTTTTCTTTATTATATGCTCTCAAGCAATGAACTAGACTTTATAATATAAATGCAACACTTACCTCGAATTCAAATTCATAGCCAGCGACTCTTTTCTTCATGCTTGAACCTCGGCGGTCCTCCTGCATATGCGGTATTGATGTGAGTTTTTATGACACACTGTCCCGCATGTTTTAAATATCTAGGTGTTGCCTTAACACTCTGATCGTTGTTGATAACGAGCTCCTAAGCTTTAAGCTTGACGTGTATGTCGCCTGGGACCATGGAACGGAGGAATGTGACATTGTCACTTTTCTCCGAGGTTTGATCGGTTTCTCTTCAAGCATGATCCAGTAAATATTATCAATCATCTCCTTGGATGATGCTTGCTTGATCGGATGCTCCTCTGATGTGACCTGGAATGGCTTGTCGGGTCCCAACACAAAACTTATGGGTGGAAAGATAGGAATAGACAATAGAAACAACTTGCCACTTGCTTGAGAAAATTCCGATGATGCAGCTGCGGCAATTCGCTTGGTGTGCTCACTTCTCCTTGCTCAGGTTCTCTAAATAGTGATATTTTAGTTTATCTATTAGTGCCACATTATAAAATTGTGTCTGTGCCATTGTCATAAACAATGGCGAGTAAAAAGAAGTAAAAGAAACGATCGCTACTTTTTCCTTGGTCCCTTATCCCTGCTTGGCCTACTGGGCTTGTCGTCCTCCGCTTGAGTCGACTCACTTTTTCCTTTATTTGATCCGCTGTTCAACAAGCTAATATTGAATACGTCGTTTCTATTCGTTTGTCTTTGATGACAGGGGCTTCTTTGACTTTAGCTACTGAATAACCACCCTGTTCGTGATAAGGCAATATGATAAGCCAACGTGATAAGTAAGGCCTAAACAACAGCAACAAGGATATGTCATTCGAGCAAAAGCCGAGAGAAGACGGTGATGAGAGGTGTTCTTTGATGCAATTATGGCAAGTTGTATTATGGGCATCCTTAATTCTTGACCTTATCGCCGATTTTTGACTGTACGGAAACAGGATAATATTTACCCTCCGATTCTAATACAAAGACGATATCTGGTCCAGACAGGTTCTCTTTTGGAAACAAAAAAAAAAAAGCGAGATTAACTTGGATTCATGTATTGAGTCTTTGTTACAGTGAGTATCCAAGAATTCGTTCATTGTTATAATTCTGGAAGATTGAAATTAAACAAAGCGGGACTGAAATACTCAAAATGTGTGCCCTTTGTGCCAGACGTAGTGGGCATCTAGTAACACACTGTTAACCAATTTAACCAATCCAGGGTCATCCACTTCAAATATGTTAAATGCCATTGGCTCAACGACAATCGTAAATTCCTTCTTCCTTTGATTAACGACAGTTCGAGCAAACGAAGCCTCGACCGGAACAGGCTCATTGTACTCCAATATCAAGTCTTTACTATATAGTAATCTATTCTTTACGGCTCGACCGAAGGTTTCCCTGATGTCGACACTGGTTTTAATTCCTGCATCCCCTTTGTTAATACGCTTCAGAATCCTAGATTACTCATGGCATAGGTTACCAGATTCTTTATATCCTGGATCAGTGAGCGACCACACCAGGCCCTTGATTTCTTGCTTCCAAAGGCCTGCGTCGGCACGTCCAATGAGGTTTTCTATTATAGTGATCATTGGACGGAGACGACCACAGGACCAAGTATATAGCATCTCGATTGCTTGATCATTAAAATGGCCTCTCAGCTTTGATGCAGAGCTTGAGGAACCTTGTTTCTCCAAATATCGTACAAGTGTTTTGAAGTATGTCCGGACTTTTGCTTGATTATCCCATCTAGGAAACGATACTGCACTCTTGAACCTCGAGTCATCGAGAACTTCTCGATATTCCTTGAAGCTTTGCCAGTTCTCTTAACCCAAGCAGGATCATAAATACAAAAGCCTATCCCGCAAGGAACTATGCAGATTTGTAGTAAATCCTCTGATAAACCCTCCAATCCATGAAAGAATGCTGATAATATTGGTCGCTTAGTGTTGTCGTTATTAATAAACTGGTATTTAGCCTCCCCTCCCCATATCCTGCGTCTCGTTCAAAATAACCAAAAACATAGAGTTGCCTTGATGCCGCTCCGAAAGGACCCTGATTAGATTGTCGAACCAATCTTGCAGGAGCTTGTCAAGGCAATTAAAGCCAACTCCACCAAGTAATTCTGCTACTTTTGTGAAGAGCGCTAGGAATAAATCTGTCCTGGATGGAACCGAGTTTCCTCAATGAACTTCTCCAAGGACCTGTGGACACACTTGCAATAGCATCCATTGGCTAGGCGTCATTCTACCTTCGGACAAGTAAAAAGGGTAAATTGATGAGCATCAAATATAAAACATAAAGGCATTTTTGCTTACGTTCTTCAAGGGGTATACGAAAACCAAACTGCGATTAACCGCCTATGAACGCAAGACACAGAACATTTGGTGAGATTATAAACAAGCGTGGATATCCCAGACATCAAGGACCTTTTCCTCCTAATCTCCCATCCGTCTAGCATGGCTCCCAAGGTAATTGATGTGAGAGGGGATGATTCTGGCGAGATTGATGCCCTCAACAGCATGTAGCATTAATATACCGAGAACTATGAATATATTGACGACACAATCTAATATTGTATCACATTTTACCGGTCAAGCGCGTGGCAGCCTTGGCCACATTCTTGATGTTTTTTTATTCCATGTCCCTGGACGCCTAGAGATTCAGACGCACCGTCTTCACATACTGACACTGAATTGGCCGAACATACAACAAATATGATCTCATTGATCACAGGTTGCCATCCCGTGCACGCACCATGGGGCTAAAACGACATTTATGTCTTTAGAGCGGAGCTGTCATCCTAGCTCCTGGTTAAACGTTCTGGCGCCCTGGATGATGATAATTGATAGGCCTTCCGCAAGTGGCAAGCATCCAGATGACAAAGCATATGAGAAAGGATAATTTCCTATGCCAGCTGTCCTGGCGATAATAATATGGTTTTGGGTCTCATCATCAGACTCTCACTGGGTTCTCCACAGGATTCTTCATCTCTATCCGTTTTTACAAAACTCTTTGATAATAGTATCACAAAAATCTGCCCTTTCTTGCACACAAGATCGCATGATGATCACAGGAAGCTTTATAAAGTTCTATATGCCCCAGTAGAAGGCAGGACGGATTAAACCGCTCTATCTATTCGTCTAAAAGGTAAGTGGATGATGATGGCTTCATTCATAAAGAATGAGCCATTGTAAAAAAATTCTCAAGGAACGGGTATAATGCTTTTTTTAAAAAAGACAAAATTTCATCCACTTGATTGGTATTCGACTTAATTCTTCAGATTCGTACCGGCTGATCCTCCTGAATATGCAGCTTCGGTGTCGATTTTTATAACACGCTGTCTCACATCTTTTACGCATTCAGGTGTTTTCTCGGCAATCCAACCTTCGAGGGTACGAAACTTCTGAACTTTAAAATCGTCATATACGTTTCCTGGCACCGCAAAATAGAGGAAAATGGTATCGTCACTTCCCTTCGACTTTGATTGGTCTCCCTTCAAGCAGGGTCCAGTAATACAATCAATTATCTCCTTGAATGGTGCTTGCTTGATTGAATGCTTCCCTGCTACTGTGACTTGAAATAGCTTGTTGGGTCCCAATGCAAAATCAATGCACGGAAATTTAGAATGTGCTGGTACAAACAACTTGTCAGCTGCTTGAGTGAGCCCTGATAATTCCTCTGGAGTCCGGAAAAACACCACTTCTGGATTTGCTGGAAAATCAAGAAATCCTGTTTCGCCTGACTGGAGATCCCTAAAGGGAAATCTAATATCACCACGTCGAAATAAGTGATGAGCATAGATTTCAAACACCGGGCCTTTAGCTATATCCTCTCCGCCTTTGACAAGTTTCGCCAATACATCGACCCAAGTGTTATCTTTTATTTTGTCCATAATCTGTGATTCGACCCAACGAGATGCCCACACCAGGTAGAAGTCGAGATGGTCAGAAGTGGGGACTCTATGGAGTAAACGACCACTAAATGCACTCGCATCTTTTCCTTGTGCAAAGAGGCTTACAAGATCTGCTGGCTTCTCGAGTGTGTCAATGGCCGCCTTGACGCGGGAAAACGCACTTTTTCTAGCTTCCTTAATATTTTCTTGATCCATGGATAGTGAAAAGGCTGGGGCCTGTAGGACCTGTCTTGGTACTCCCCCCAACTTGTAAAAAAGCTCCTCCAAAAATTCTTCATCCACTAGATGATAATACTCTACATTGGCTCTACATTCTTTAAGCTCGTCCAAACTCCAGAGTGACATGTGATAGTAGCTAAAGCGTGCAGTTTCCTTGGCGAATTCACCGTACTGCTCATTGAGAGTTTTTGGTGATGCCGCAAATATCGTCCTGGCTTGATCTGGTAGAGGGTTCTCACTACTATCAACTAAGTACCACGTTTCAGGTCGAGCAAGGAAATCTTCGAACATCGTTGTATTCCCTTTACGTTGGCAAGTTGTTCCTCCATAAACATAACATCTGTCATGCTGCTTATCTTGGAAAATAATAATCGGTGGATTTTCCTCATCGTGTTCGGCAAGGAGGCGGATGGCAAAATAGACCAAAAAGGCTGACTTCCCAATTCCAGGTGTTCCAGTGACAAAGAGTCGGTTCAAACCAGTTTCATGAGGGGTACTTAACCTGGATGTAATATGGTCATAAAGCTTTTCATATTCTTCTCTGATATAAAGATGCCTTGTTTTAGCAATAGGGAAGACACGACCCTCAGGGGCAGTCAATATTTTGGAACCCTTGATACCACCAGAATTTCGGAGCTCGCAAGCCACGCTAACAATGCTGTAGTAAATACTATCTCCTGATAACTCCTCCCCCATGTACGAAAGCACCTTGACCCTCTCTTTCGAGTTGAGAGGCGAGAGGACAGGCCTACCATTCACTATCCCTTTCGTTACAAGCCCCGCTTCTGTAATCGCATCCCTAAGAGCACCTCTGCTACTTATACTTGGACGAGCTTTTTTAGAGGGTGACTCTGATAAAGGAGATAGAGTGATCAAAGTCAATATTTTTGATTTATTGCACTGCACATCACTCTAAAATTGATCAATAACCAGGTTCTCGGCCAAAAGCACTCACCAGCATCTCCATCCTGTTTTCTTTTCTGAGCTAAGTATCAAAGGCGAATAATTAGAAAGAACGTTGAGTTATCAAGACACAAACCAAATGGTGATATTATGCACATGGCCGTTTAAGATATAAACCAAGCTTCATCAGCTGAAAATATCAACAATCAGTCCATCAAGAGCTAATACATACCTCGCTGTGGTGGCTTGACAATAACATGGATAGTTTCCTCTGGAAGTTCGGAAATAAATATGTCCCCAAGCTTCCTTGACGCGACTGTAAGAGCCTCTTTTGACTCGATTTCTGACTCAACGACGATCTTGCCTTTGTCAGGGATGGAAACTTTATAGAGGGTGAGGTCCTTGGGCTTAACGCTTGGATCCACAGTAATATT